CAGATCGTCTTTGTTTAGAACTGTTTTTGTATTTAATGATTTTATATCAGTGGATTCAAATTTAATTCATCCATTACAGCTACTCTCTAGAAACCGAATGTACTGTTGAGCGTTACCCACTTTTTTATTTCTAGAAACTGAAAATAAAAATTAAAAAATTTGCTTCCAATTTTTTTGAAAATTTTCAAATATGATAAGAAGAATTTTCATGGCGAAAATATTTATCTATTTCAAGTAGTTTACTTTTTGGAATTATTTTAAATTTTTTTGGAGTAAATTAAGGTAAAACGTAGTAAAATTATAATTTTTGGTAATTTCCTGACTCCTGGATGAGTATATTTCTTAAATTATTTTTACTATCCATATAAATTTCACATCTTCTGTCATATGTTTAACTAGAATTATTTTTTTTTAACTTAAAAATCAGTACAGTTATAAACAAATTGCATGTAGGTATACATGACTTAATGTTTCTGCGCCTGTAATTGTACCATTCTTCTTCTAAATAAACAAGGGAAACAATATTTTGTATTTTTAATCTTAAAAAAAATTAATACTCAGGCATTTAAGAGTTTGACAAAGTGAAGTAAAACAAGTGAGAAAATAGATACTACTCTGCTGTATAGGTGTCTAGATGAGTAATTTTAATGAATGGGTACAATTTTAAGCCTGCAATGATATAAAATCTTAGTATATGAAAAACTATTCTGAGCAAAGACGGATTGTCAGCCTAAATATGTTTGATGATATTATGAGTATCATAGTAATTTTATCATTAGACATTTAGATATTATCACATTAGTACCTAATGCAGCAGTCTGAATACATTTTTGGCTAACAAATTTCATTTGAAAACGTGATTGTTCGATACAGTAAAATAGGATACTTTAAATGTTTCAAGTACTTACTCAACGAATAATATTTTTGAATTACAACAAAAAACCAAAAAAAACCTTAAAAACACCACCATCTGGATCTCTGGTAGATCGCAAGCAACAATATCTATACGATAGTAAAATTTAATTTCGAGTCTTTTTTTTTTGATATCGGGTGACGTCGTTCTGTGGTAGTAATGCGCAGTAAACAGTTGCTATCATACCATGTTATTTGGCCATGATACAGACAACGGACTATCTGAGAATGAATAAAATTATTGAGTCGCGCTGACCGCCTGACGGCCGCCGTCGTTCTCACCACCGTTGACAGCCGTCAATGTTCATTTTACATTTTCACTAAGCTGAGCGATACATCCAACTACAGATGTAGATAATAATAATGATAATTAACTCAGAACCAACTAAGACAAAATAGATTTATTTAGAAATGGGTTAAACCATAAGTTAAGCTAAAAGGTCTATGGGTTACACCCACTGAACAATTTAGTTGTTACTATCGAGGTAGGTATACAAACTTCATAATTGTATCATATTGTATCTATTCTGTGGTTGTATACCTCGATGGTTATAAGTTATTACTTAAAAGTACATATTATATATATGCCTATATTTATAATCTTTTAATAATTATCAGACAGTGCTGCCCCTGTCGCAACATAAAAATTGTCCATCCGTTGGCTGCACTGTAACCTTTGTGCGCCGTCCACGCTCCGTCCTCTTTTGTTTCCTAGTCGCTACTCACGACGACCCGTCGACCGTCGACCACTCGAGTACTCGACCGAGTCCCGTTCGTCGTCGTCCATCTCGTCGCCAAACGTTTTGTGTGCTCGTCGTCTCCACAGTTCGTACGTGTGATAATACCGACGAAACGCTACGGTAGCACGGCAATTACTATCATCGCGACGACAACAACAGTAATCGTCATAGGTATCTAAAGGCTGTACGGGTTAAGACGAGTACGACGCTAGTGCCTGGTTAAATCTCGGCGGTGCTATTGTTGTTGTTGTTGTTGTTGTTGTTATGCCCCACTGCCACGCACAGCTTCGACTTGCCATCGTCTGACACAAATCCGCCGTGCACGTAAGTGTTGTCTTTCTTAGCCAGTGTGGTCTTCACACGTTTGACATTACTTAACTTAGTATTTAATTGGCCCACTACTCGACTACTACCTAAAACTGCTAAAAAATAGTACTTTTTATTATGCCACTACTATCAGTACTGCCTGCGTCGAGTCTAAAACGATCATTATTACATCTTTCTCTCGATGCGAACATTCGACACGTTACTACGCGCTATGTCCCCAGTTTACGATGACAACAGTGACACAACATTATTGTTGTTGTTATTGTTGTTGACCGTGGTACTGTTATCGTTGGCGTGCATTGCATTCCGGTATCGGGTATCTGCGCATGTGCCGCCCGCTGGTCCGGTTCGCCTCGCCGACTGATCGAGCGGGTTAGACAATTTAGAAATCAACAATTAGGTATAATCGTACGGCGTAATGGCGACGTGATTGCAATTGATACAACAGTGGAAGCGTGAATTGCCAAATCGTGTGATGGATATGACCTTGGGTTTGGAATTTTAGACGTTTTGTTTTTGGTATTCGCACGTTACGCGCGTTCTGACTTCGGTCCGACTGCGTCGGAAAGGAGGTAGGGGAAACATCTACTCTTGGCACGACCGTATTCGGTTTTCTTTTTCGCCGTTTTTCCTTCGGTCATCCGATTGCATTGTTTCATAGCGGGTCGGGAGGAGGCTGTCCGTCCGTCGACGTCGTCGAAACACGATACCTCCGAACGGCGCTGTTTTTGTAATCAGAAATCGCTCCGAACCAGTCGGCCGACGAGATTGCCGCGCGAGCCACCTGCGTCCGCCGCTGTTGGCCGTGGTTAAATCACAATCGTCTCTGTACTTTGTTTAGACGTGTTGCCGTAGCGCAATCGTTCGACGGTGTACGGCGACAGAACAATAACATAATGACACGTTGTAAACGATTTTAATTTACATTGTCTGCTGCTACTTCCATTACGCCGTACTGGTCTGTTAGGCCATTGTGCGCACACGTCATAATGATCATGATAATATGATGACTATATTCCAAACGGGCACAATTGCTGTGTTGTCGATCACCACCGTCATTATTATTACTACTGCGACGCTATTGCCATTACAACAATATTATAATAACACTCGATCCCCGTGAGGGCCTCGCATGGCTGTTTAAAAAAGAAATTATGTTTTTCCGTCTCCCAAATCGGTCATGTCGTTTTCATTTTTCCCGTCGACCGACTGTGCGCTTATCGACACCTTGATAACGACGGTTCGCCGAATGAAAATAATTTTGTTGTCTGCTTGTCTCGTGTTTCTGCGTTTTTATAATATCATAATATACCTACTTGTCCATGATTTTTGCTCTCGAGCTAGATTAAGAAACACGGATTTTAGTTTCAAAGTTTCGTTTACTCCTGTTTACTGTGTTGCAACGTAGACCTTAATACTCGGTTTAATGCTTACAATAAATAGTAAGTCGTAACCGATACAAGTTGTAGCAGATAAACAATGGTTTCGACAGATCTCATTCGGTGAAAACCATCGCGCTCGACACTGTGTTTTAAAATCGTATTTTTAACATGTCTGATTTTTGTTTATTTTTTATCTACTCGACTACACTGACACTTGAACTTTTATCAACCACGTACTCCGAACACTTTAAATTAAATTAGGTTTAAAAATAAAGCATTCTGCATATTGTTTTGTTGAATCATGGTACAGGAATGTCAAGGTATTTCCGATCAAGGCAGATTTGTCTCAAACCCATCCCCGTGTTCCATGATTGTTGTGTCTCCAGTAGTTTTCTGATAATACTGTGTATCATTTAATGGCAATTATTTTTCTCACTATCATTTCAATACAATCAGTAATAATAATACTCATATATTTATAAGTTATCTATTAATAAATATATTATTACCTTGAAAAGTAGGAAGTCTTCAAACTTGATCTTCTTTAAGCTTGTTAAGTTCTTAATCCATTCAAGTCTTATATAAATATAAACTCAAAAAGTAAGAATTGAGCTGAGAAATAAGTAATAAAATATTTTAAACTATAATACAGCTATAGTTAACCTAATTGTATCTTTTAAAAACAGCCTTACTTTACCAAATTATCTATCACAGAATTACATGGATAAAATCCTATTTTCAAATTCTCTGAATAAAATAGTTACCATTAAATAATATTTCTGATATTCTAGGTACTTAAGTTAAAATGATAAGAATGTTTGTACTAAAATTATGATTACCTACATAGGTAATTCAGAAATTAATAGTAACTTAACAATTTGAGACGATAAAAATTTTGAATTTTGATGAAAGCTATAAAAATAAAGATACCTATTTAATACTTACATAGGTTTTGAGTCGTGTACTAACTTGCTTAAAAATGAAATCGGTATAATTCTCTCATAACTTATTACACAATGCCTATTTATAACTTAAAATGTTTGTTGATTTTTTATATAATTTGCTTTTTTAATGTTAGGTACTTGGTATCTACATCATATTTTAACTCGTCTATTTTTTAAACTAATTGATAATACTACATTCAATAAATGTTTTCATTTATATTATTAACCTTTGTTAGTTCCCTATTGGTACATTTAATATCTGTCTACAGTATTCATCTTCAAATTAATGATTGATGATGTGGTTTACCAACTAATGAGTAATAAATATGTAACCATGCATAAGTAATTTATCGAGGTAAATATTTAGTTGGTTCAGTCAAAGGTTATCTGATATTAGAATATATACTACCTAGTACCTACTGTCTACTTTGATAGAAATCTTGAAGTTTTGTTATTAAATATCCTATTGAATTAAAAACTTTTGCAGTTTTATTTACCTTACCATTAGTTTTATTTGCAATAACTACTTATTTAATATAACCTACTAAGTATGTAAGAGAGGCTTCTTTTGTTTGCATTTTGCATCTATTGCTTGATTTTTTCAACCTTTTGGTTTTATTTATTTTATTATATATTTTTATCATTAGATATATTCTTATTATTATTATTATTATTATTATTATTTTTGTTGTATTTATATGTTGATATTCATTTGTTATATAATATGTGTCATTATTTTATTAAATAGCCATCAGGCTATCACCATTAATCAGTGAAAGTATGTGTGCACATTTTTTTTTAACTCAACACACAAATTCAGAAACACAAATCCTGTGGACCCCGTCATTTTAGGTTAGTACGGATCTTATTTTATAAATTAATGTTAAAATTTGAGTCATCTGTGTTACATAGCATACTAGGTAGGTATACTCAATATGATTAAAATCCATAAATTTGCTTGCCAATATTTATATTTTTTATAGTTAATTTACTTGAGTTAAAATATTTATTAAATACAATTCAAATAACTAGGTAGGTAGGTTGATGGCCACATTGATGTGGATTATGTTGGGTGATATAGGTACCTACTCTATTTATAATAGCTCCTAATATTTTCATATGCAAATAATCATACCTTTATCGTACCACTTAACAATTCATACATTTTTTATACTAGAACACTAGGTACCTAAAAAAAACCACATAAAATTATCTATCGTAGTAATTATTTTTCTTGTGTTTTGTGTGTTAGAAAATAGCCTTATGTGATTAAACCTCCGATTAACTATGTAAGTTGGTTAGTATTTATCTTAAAATTAAATAAAATAATGATAATATTTTCCTACCTGTGTAAATGTATTTATTAATAAAAACTAAAAAATTAGGTAATACCTATGGCTTATAAATTTAAATTTAAGAATTTAAAAGATATTCTTAAAAATATGGAGATATAATAAAATATTTATACTCTTTACTACCTAGGTTCTTAAATACACAATTAAACTCTGTAGGTACTTAACACTAGTTGTTATTTTTGTTTAATACGTGTTCTAACCAGTTGCATAATGATTGTTATGATCATTTATGTAGGTTATTATAGATATATTATTATACATAGAGTTATGCCTTATAACATGTTATATTTTATAACTGTATTTAAAAAGTAACTATAAGTATAACTTAAGTGTTTCTATAATTAGTTTATTTTACAAGTATGCTAATACCTATGAGTTACATTAATGAAAATCTTTTGGACAAATTATGAATAATTCAGTAATGAGTGACAAATTACTGTTTTTGCATGACAAGAAACATACCACAATTAATAATTATTTCTCAAATGTAGTACTTAATTGTGGTATCAAAATTGTATAATATCAATCACTCATCAATATTATAATACATGTAAATTTAAAAAAAAAGTACCTTAAGTATACAAAAAATGTATTTAATTATCTTAAAATAACCACCCATTTTTAAACACTTGATTTTACATTTAGGAACATTGTGAGTCCTTTATACTTATTGTTTAAAATAAATAATAACGTGTCAATCATTTATATAATTTTTCCAAATATGTACTTAATAAAAATAAATTATTTATTTCGAGTAAATTAAGAATTTAAAAAAAATTATATTTTATAAAAGGGTAAATGTAAACTGGGCTCATGATTATCTCTTTTGTTGCAAACCCAGCCCTATATTTTCCACAGATAAAATTAAATAATTACAACACAATTTTCATCTGAAAATAATAAATAGGCAACATACCTATATACATTTATATAATTTAATTCTGCTGTAACAAATTTGCATACTTTTTAATGAAAATTAAATTAAATAATTTTTGGAGGATAGTGAAAATTGTTTCCTCTGAGTAATGTTAAATTTGTCTCAAAAATATTTTAAGATAGGTAATTATTAATTAGGTATGAAAAGATTTACCTTAGTTATCGATCTATTAATTATAATTTGTAAATAAAATACGAATAGGAGGAGGTACCTATATACATTTTTTGTCTGTGTATTGAATTAGATTTAGGTTTGGAAAATATAAATTACATATTTATGTTATTATTTCAAATTTTTTTGCATGAACATTTTAGTTAGATTAAAAGTAAAAAAATCCATGTTTTTTGTATTTAATATTTATGCTTGCTGTCTTTATGTTTGATTGGTATGCACTAATAGCAAACATGTTTTGCTTATCATATTCTTAGATAATGTTGTATTATAAATTATTTTCATTCAAGAATAAGTTCGAGTATACATAATATGATATAAATGTGTACAAACAAATTTTATACTGGTTATTAAGTTTTAATTATGGTTTTCACGTTCAAATTAATTTAGAAAATAGAAGGTGTTAGGTACCTACAAAATTCTCTATTTTTTTTATTTTTTTACTATAGGGCATATTCTTAACCTTCCAGTGTGGGTGCACTGTTATAAAAATTACAGTTTTGTACTTATGAATGGTTTTTTTACTTAATTCTATTTTAATTTTCTTGGTGGTTATAGGTACCTATTTATTATTTTAGAATATTATTATATATGTTTTGGTTTAATCTTGAAATGTTTCAATAATCATTTTTGTTGAAGTTGTCATTTTATCACAGACAAGTTTGATGTGTTATCGTTAAATACTACACTCTCTGTTCCTTGAATTTACCTAATTTATTATTTTATAAACAATAGTTTGTGTGGTTATAATAATAAAACATATAAGCATTATTCTATATTGTTCTGATAATATTTTACATACTGTACATTTGCTTATTATTACATTTTTTAAAAATATTTAATTTGAATACCTATTTGTAGGTATTATTTATGTATTTTTGTACATTATTATTTTATATTTAACTTTAGGTTAAATTTTATTACAGTTGAACTATTTAAAATTTTGTTTTATTATGTCCTATATAGTCAATATAGTATTTTATATTTATTTGATTGATATACAATTACTACCTACTACATGTTAGAAATGTTGTAGATTTTAGAATACAAGATGCAGTGACTACTCTTGTTGTATTATAATGAATAGCGCACCCGCTGGCAGGTTAAATTTGGTACATAATTGATATCCATTTTAAGTCATTAATTTCCCACATAGGTACTAGTACTATTTGATTTGGTTTGTTGATAAATTGTATAATATTTTTGGTTAAGATTTAAAATCAGGTTTATTTTCTTATACAAAGTAATTTCATCTGTTTTTTAATTGTGATGATCACATCACATTTATTGTATTTTTATAAATGCAATCAATGAAACTATTAGAATAATAATATTTATAATATGTATTGTTACAGTTTTGTATGCAGTGTGTATGCTGCTTTTCTTCAATCTTTGCACAAAAGAAATGATCACATCGCTTCTTCAAAATGAATGCACGTTCCCACTGCCTTGAGTTAAGCGTTGAAGGCTTCCAAGTAGATGAAGCTGTCTCCTGTCTTTTTCATACTGTACTTCTACATCGATCACTTGGAAAATTTTGTTTCGCCCCTGACGGCACTTACACCATGGGCACTGTAGGCTTACAAGATGTTGACTGTGATTTCATTGACTTTACATACATATGTTGTTCATCACCACATTTAGATCGCAAACTTCGAAATGACATTTCAGAATTTTCTGAATGTCTCAGGCGTGATAATCACACTTTTGGACAAATCACATTGGAGTTTTTTCAAAAAAAAAAAGCTAGGTGGCCATTTCAACCAGAGTGTACACCTTGGGAAGTGTGGAACGTGCGTGTTGATTTGTTGAAAATTTGTAATGAAACTAATAGACAAATATCGAAAGAAAAAATCAGTGACTCTTTGAGTGACAAAATAATTTATATAGCGGAAATAATGAACAGGCATGAGTATTTGCCAAGTATACCACCACAGTCTGAATTGGATTTAGTGTTTGACACATCATTTGCTGATATCCAACCATACTTATTTAAGACAAATTATCTAACCAGTGGTGCAAGTAGCCCATCAGTCGGATCAGCTGTTCAAAAACTTATACGAGATACATTGTCATTATCGTAACCATAATTTCTTATATTCGTTATTTTTCTGTATCTACCAATCACCTATTAGTGGTAACTTAAAATTAGTACAAAGTAGAATTTATGCAAAAGGTTAGAATTGTGACATTTAATATTATTAACAAGTTGAAGTTTACTTTAGCTTTTATTATTTTAATTTTTAATAAATACATTTAATTTTTATTGATAAATAAAAGTTATATTTAAATGACACAGATAACGCTTAAAAGGTAGAAACGCATTAATAGTTGTTTTATTTACAATTCTTTCTTATTAAAGAAGTACTGCAAATGTGTTATTCTTTTGTTTAAGTGTAATAACATACCACAATATACATTTTTTTTTAATAATATTGATGTTATTCAATTTAGTTTTGCCTTCTTTAACTTTCATAATATCCACTTCGTATTTTCAATATTATGCATTATAAATTCTAATAATCCACTAACTAACATTTAAATGTTATGACCAAGACTGCAATTTAATTTAATTTTAATACTATTTTGGTAGTCAACACAAAATATATTAGTGATTGTCTATCATTGAATTAATGGGTAATATTTCAGTAATTTTTTTGGACAGCTACTTTTACTGTTATTCCATGTGTACATTTTTTTCTTGTTAAATTTGTTTTATTGTCCAAAAAATATAACTGAGTGTCAATTTTTCATTTTATTTTTATGTTGTATAAACTGACAATTATCAGCAATAATTTTATGCGCTTTGTCATAAAGAAATTGTAATTTAAAAGTAATTCAAAATATAATTGTGTGAATACTTCATTTTTTTTTGTATGGAAATCGGTTATTTTATATAGAAATACCTAATTATATAATTTGTAAGTTTCCATTTTACTTAAATAGATGTATATATATTTTTTAATTGGTGATCATTTTTATTATAATTACTGTTTTTTATTATTATATCATGATTATTATTAATAATTAATTTTACTGTTAATATTAGGTTTACCAACAATTCAAAAATTATTTTAGATACTTATAGACATTTGCTATGTTTATTATATATATATATTTTTTTTTTTCATAAATGATCAATTTGTTTAATTTGTATGCTATGAATTTTCATTGTAAATAAACAATGTAGAAACTTGAACCACTGTATTATAATTTTCATATTGATTTTGATGTTCAATAAAAAAAAAAAAATTATAATAACAATAATTATTGTACCTATTTTTTTGATGGTTAAACCTACCTAATATTAGGTTATTTTCTATATATTATTGCAGTTAAATGGTTTAAAGTTCTATTTATTATAAAAAAACCTGTTAACATAATGATATGCAACTAAGGTAAAATACAAATAAGCAAATTTATCTTATACTTGTTTGGGATTAATAAGACTGATAAATCTTTAAAAATTAAAATGTATATAATATTATACCTATACTAAGCACTTGAGTTGATCAGTTTTTTGTATAGATCCTAGAGTGTAATCTGAATGTATGTATAATGTAGTTAAAAAATAATGATTATTATAACACTTATTTTAAACTAAATGATTGGTTTGAATCAATTATATAAAATTATCAAGTCTTGCAAATTTAAAGTAACCCATTATAATACAGAATCGACTCATTATTTTAATTAGAATCCAAATTTAAACATAAATAACTCAGATTGTAATTCTATAGCCATATCTTTGCAAAATAATAAAGTGTGTGTATTTTTAATAAAATACATTTAACTGTACACCCTAACCTTTTTACCAAATGTAGAAGGTGAAGTTCAATATCAGAAATATCTGGAGGGTTAGGAGCATGATCTCCTCTATCAAAGCGATGATACTTCAAGCACAAATATTTTGCTTAAATTTTAAAAACGAACCTCACAGCAGATTGTATGAAATTGTGTAACATTATAACTTTTTTTTCGCTTAGGGGATGCCAGTGCTATATTTGGTTTCTCTCAAATAAAACGCTTTTGCCTAAAATTGTTATAGGTATATGATTTTTAAGTAAACCTATTGCAGTAATTAGGTATAGAGAATAATATTTTTGAGTGTTTGACATATCGGCATATTTTAGAAAATTTACAATCTGTATTAAAAAACCACAATAAGTAAATGTGATGTATGTACAACAAACAATATAATATTTTGAGAATGGCAGGATAAGGGAGGCTATCCAATGATAGAACCCTTCAGATTTAAATTTAACATTATTTATTTATTTTTATTAATTCTACTTAAATTATTTAGACAAATCGACATTTCATACCCTCTAAAAAATCATTCCCTACCATTTTTGTCATTGGTGATTTTACTTTTGAGATAAATCAAAAACATAAAAAAAAATGATTTTTCGTAAATGCGTTTTTTGCCTATGTTGCGCGCGGTCCAGAGCGATAAAAACAATGCGCTGACATCCTTCAACAATTGTATTATTTCTATTGACGACCAACTTGTCCCTCCGTGTGCAGTAGACCACGATATCGTCGTAATTTACTACGAAATCCGTATATTAGGTATTTAGGCGTGTTTTACATTGTTCGATTAGAATAGATCTAAATGACGGAATATAATTATAATAATAGTACACTCATCTATGCGTGTACTGCATCAGTCGGTGGTTTGTTCCTACGACCACGACAGCGTGGCGTCTGGTGCTATTTTAAATTTATTTCCATATTACATTTATTAGATAAGTGATTAACAATATTAATATTAGCTAAGTGCATTTACACATTTTAGGCTTTGAATTTAGTGGATGAAATAAGCTAGATGCTACGTGCCATCTTATAACAATAAACCCGATTTCTGCATCCAATTAATTGCCAATCGCATCGAACGTGATATTGTTGTTTTGATTTTCACCGATTTGTTTCTTCCGATTTTACAGGGTTTTGTACGCGTGTGATGTGCCATAATGAGTTCGCCGAGAAGTAAGCCAATTGCATACCGTTCATACTCGACCAAAACACAGTCAACAAAAGGTAATCGAAGAATCACTATTTCGTCTAAAGTTTGGCGTAATTTTGAAAATGCAAACATTAAGGTGTATTATAAAAATGTGTAATCGTTTTGCAATAATAATTAATATTCTTCTACAACGTTAGACCGATGTTCGATGTTTCCAATGCGTTACATTATTATCTCTAGTTGACTTGACCTCTGTGCGTTTAACAATTTTGTTAATATCGATGTATAAACATATGTAATTTGTTTTAATAAGTGATTGGAAAATTAAACATCGAAATGATAACAAATGGATCACTAGAAACAATAAATTAATTACCTACAATATATAAAAATATTTAATTGATAAAAAATTAGATGATTTGATATTTTTCAATTTTCCATCAGCTTTATTATATTTGTGGTCAAATGGTTTATTTAATAATGTAGACAATCTTTAAACAATACTTTTCAAAAGTAATTTTGAATACTTGTTATAGGTATATAAATATATTATACTATAATAAAAAAGGGGGGAGTAGGTATTAGGTAACCGCTCTGCTGTACAGTGTGGGTTTCGATTCTACTATTGAGCAAGTCACTGTAATATATGCGCTAAATTTGTATTTAATGATAAACCGTTTCATACAAAAAAACGATTCTGGGAGAAAAAGCCTATGTTACTAAGTATATTTTATGATGTATTTATATTGCAATTAGGTATAGTAATTTATTTTACTAATTCCATGGAATTTATAATAATGTATAAATTATAAAATCAATGGTACCTAATACAGTAGATTGAATACATTTTGGGAAAAAAATTTTTTTTTCAAGAATAAAAGATTCACGATAATATAGTAGTAAATGCTTCCTTCTAATATGTATACACTATATACATATCAGTGGCGTAATTTCAGTTTTTTCTGGGTGTGCAAACTTTTAGGCAGGCCAATTTTGACATTTCACCAAGCCATTAAAAAAATATATATTTATATATATAAATGTTGGTAACCTATGCAAATCTATGTAAATATTCTTTCCTTCCCTTTTTTAATTCTAATTGAAACTCATATAACGACTAATGCAACGACTAATGCAACTTTTAAATTGCTAGCAATTCAAAGAATTGAACGCTTATAAGCAATTAAAGCAACTATCTAAAGCCATTTCACTATTATTTGAAAAAAAGGCAAATAAGGTATAATAAATAAACCCGATAAACTAAAAATATACAAAAACTTGAAAAAAAAAATATTTTATTTACATTACCTATGTATGAAATCATAATTTATATGTTAATTATGACGGCCCATTGGAGTATTAATGGCGGGCCAACTGTTAACATTTTTAAGTTAGTGGTGCCGTTGCAAACCCTGCCCCCCCCCCCCAAATTACGCCCAAGATTTATACTTTACTTTCCCGTGTGTCGTTTTCTTTTTGTGTCAAATCTTAGAACATAGTATTTACCTACGCTATATAGCCAAAAAAGGCGTATCTCAGTTTCACTTTTAGTTTTAGCTTTGATTATATTATAACCAATAGTTTTAGTAACAAATCGGAGTCAATGTACCTAGCTTTAAGAAATAATTCGACCTAGATGGGCAACCGCAAGTCACTCAATGATATTTCAAATGCAATTTTTATCGAATAAATGAATTCGATCTACTTTATTACTAATGTCTTCTAAGTTTTTAGAAAAGTAACTTTTATAACAATAATATCATGAAATATATCTACTTAGTACGTATACTGTAGGCTGACAAACCGACCTTTACTCTAAATTGTTTTTCTTTTAAGTACAATGGTTTATATCATTTATGAATTAAAATTTAACACATTCATTACAGTGACCTCTCTAGACACCTACTGTACAGATCAGTATCCACTTACCCGCTTTTTTTGAAAATTGATTATTTTTTCCTTTTTAATTATTTAATATTAATTATGTGCTGAATTTTAGTCATTAATTAACACCTTTGTTTTATATTTTATTATTACAAAAATATTTTTATTTTAGTGTTGAGTGGTGAATATAGCGGTAGCGAGAGTGAATCATTTGATGACACCAACGATGGACGCA